TTAGGTGACAATAAACTAAGAAGAAACTTCGTTTTAAGTTTCTACTAGATGTGTATAGTGTAAGTTTCTTCCATAGTATGGGAATACTTATGTCTCAGGATGACGGGCGTAGTGGCAGTCGGCAATGCTCTGAATGGCACTGCAACTTAATAGGCAGGCTTGTCGCTTACCACCAGGCACACGACGCAGCACGGTTTTACTTTGTTAGAAGAAATGTGTACTTTATTTAGTAGAGAACATTATAGTTCAGTATCATATTGCATTCTGTAAAGTGCGCCAGGCGCTGTTTGCTGCATCTTCCTTTTATTTTTTTGTTTAACTTATCGCATAACATACATAAAAAAAACACAGTCGAATTGAGAACCTCCTCCTTTTTTGAAGTCGGTTAAAAACCAGGCGTCAAAACGGCCTTATCTTGTAGAGGACAAAGTTTAGAGAGCATTGCTCGTTTTAATGCATCGCTGCATCGCGCAGCCAAGCGGCGGCAGCAATGTGCGGTGACCCTTATTCATACCACTATGTATTTGATGCCATAAATTTCATGGTATTCCTTTAAGAGATTGTGTTATTTCAAAGGCAATAAGCCTTATTGATCCTTTCGAACGGCATCATAAAAATATAGGAATTTTTTCTCATCTGGTGGATTCGATTCCCAGATGAGGCAAGCCAAATTTGTCTTTGAAAGCAGTTTTACTTGCTTTTAAATATAGAATAGTATCTCCTTGAAGCAAAATGTCCTATCTACAATATTTAAAATATTTTCCCTCAGCATCCCATAGCCGTGAGGCGACCTGTATACTAAAATTAAATATCAATCAATATGTACCTAAACCATCGTAAGCCATTAATAAGTAACAATTTATACCATATTTAACCGTATGTAGAAAATTATGTATTCTGTACATTGTTAACAGTACATAATATGGCTGCTTTTGCTTTCGCTTTTTTATATTCCTTATTGCACTAAACAAATACAAAAGAAATTAATTGTACATGAGATGCGAGATTGTATACGCTTTTATAATTCTAATGCCACTGTACTATTTTTTTTAGTTTAATTACTTATTTATGTACACGTACGCATAGAAATCTCGAATAGTTGTAATTGTGAGCATATTGTAGCTCTTACAATAAAATTTAAAAGATTTACATAGTCCAACACATTGTATTTACACTAACTGGGAAAAGAGCTGATGATATTGAAACAGCTGAACAAAGATAGCTAAGAGCATCCTGATTAATACATTATTTAAAAAAATTACGCTGGGGATCAGGGCCTCAATTCTGCTAATTTTTAATGGACTTCAAAAAAAGGAGAAGGTAGAAAATTACCCATAAACGTGTACAAATATTACACAGAGCAACCTCTAGAGCTTCTTGCTCGTTCTTCTCAGGTAAATCTGCCTTACGAATGAGTAATAGAGTTAAAGCAATGTAACGATTTCAAGTGTAATTTGCTTACTTAAGAAATAACGATAATTTGAGTTTGAATCGCCAGTTCCATATTTCGCATTTTGAGCTGTATCTCATATCAAACTTGTTCTATTAAAGAGTTATTTATAATCACATACAAAATACTAACGCAGAAAAATTTCAGATCGGCGGCTCTGCTCACCTTGTCATGACTTTTGCACGTCGCTTTTGCATTTCCGTAACTTTTCAAATGTTGGTATCAAAAACCAATTTTTTTGCATGTCAATTATGCTGATTTTTCTTAACAATAAAACTGAAACTAAGTAAGATATAAAAAAAACCGATTAAATGGGGTTATATATCTCATTTCGGTGAACCCAATTATATTAATACCTCAATTTCCCTAAAAATGTCGATTACGTTACTTATAATAAGGAGGGCAGAGCTAATGAGGAGAGTGAGAAGGTGCCTTTATATAACTGGAATATTTTCAAAGTAATAACTATTAACCTTGTTAACGCAAAAATACAGTTCATTTACAAACATGTAAAAGTTCGTTTTCTAAACATAAAAGTGACAGTAACGGTCAGTTCAGACAACAATTAGCACTTCCACACTTGACACATTTGAGAGTGAAACTTCCAAGTTACAGAAACATTTAGCGCTTAATCATTGCGTCTTCGTGTTCAAAACAATCTAATAATGTTTAAATTACAGCAATATTGTATAATATAATTAATCACGTCGTCGTCGTCGAGGATAGAAATTAACGCCAAGAGAAAGTTATTATGCCTCTTTTAAAATGTAGCGTTATTGTACGTAAAGGCAAATAGTAAAATTAATCTAAAATAGTAAAATAATCTAATTGAATGAAAACTATTCGATTCCGAAAAGAGATCAAATGTCTCTCAACCTCCTTTACTTTTTAAAATAATGAGACGACACTTTAAAAATTTTTATATTTCAAGAAAAAAATATTGTTCTAAATTTGACTCGTGTTTAAATTTGTTGTTTGTAGAAAGACTTCTATCGGAGTGCAAGTGGTCGGACCTGTTGATTTCTCTCGTCTCGATTTCGGGTCCAAAGTTCACTGCCCTACTGACACGTATTTAATTATAGAACACGATGCTACGTTAATTACGTTTCAAAAGTTAATTACGTTATATTTTTATATCATATTATACTCGTACTATATTATAATGGTAGTAGTATATGTATAACACAACAAACTGAGTATCAACATATTACAATTTCATTATTTAATCTTAACGAATAAGTGTGACAATAAACTATACTACTGTATCATTGACTTACAAATAAATGGACGACGGGTCTAATACAAAAACCACGAAAAAAATGTCCCAAGTCAACCTATTCGAAATTTAAATTGTTATGTCATCGCAGTATCGCGCTGTCCATAGAACAAATGAAGACTAAAGCGGAGTGTCGCGCTCTGTATACGATTTTAGCGACTTACAAGTGCGGACACTTTTTAGCGCGGACCCGACGTCCATATAATTGTAAGTCAATGTACTGTATATAGATAATAATCTATGCCATGTTGTATTAGGCAGTTTACACGTTTATGGTTCTAACTTGCCTTCTAACTTCCAACTATATACAAAAGACAAACATAAAAACACGTTTTAAATCAAAACATTATTATACTAACATGCTTTATCGGTTATCTCTAACGGTAAGCAAGGCCAAGGTCATCGACCAGCTGTCTGGGAAAACTTCTACCAAAACGCCGCTGGATGGCGTTAGGATCGAGTTAAAACGCGCTATCGTTTTGTTCACAAGCCTAGTATGAGTAGTCTGTAGCGAAATTCTATGGTTGCCATCAGAAGGGTCTTAACTGACTCGACTGAACAGCGAGTGATGAGCTCGGATATGAATCTTTGTGATTCCAACCCGCTCGCTCGCAGGTCAACTATCGCAGACCTGCGTGTCGATGGTCTGACGCTGTTTTTTTGGCCAATTTTAAACTGTAGATGTGACTGATATAGTGTACCTTACTATACACGCAATAGGTAACTTAGTTAAAATATTCAAACATTAATTCTTCATCATCGATCTAACCCATTATATGTTCCACTGGTGGGAACGGGTCTCCTTTAAGGAAATGGTTTAGACCAGTCATACTCAAATGCGGCCCAACAAGCTTTTATGTGCGGCCCGAAACAGGAAGGTTTCTAAACTTCAAATCTTCAACGAGATATATTTAGGTTTTGTGTTTTATTTATTACGTGGGAAGTGAATGAAAAACCTAAGTTTCCACTAACGATTTTTAAACGGATGACCTAAAAAAATGTTGCGGCCCATATAACTAAAATAGCAAACACAATTATGCATATGGCCCGAACGAAAAAAGGTGGAGTATACCTGGTTTAAACCGTAGTTCAAAACACCTGACCCAATGAGGGAAGCCATACGTATATGCGGCCACAGGAATTTGAACCCTCAACCTCTATGATATGAACGTTTACAGTGGTTTACCCACCGAGCTATCGCTGCTTTTACCTTTTTTTTATCAAAAAAATAAAGTTATTACCTAAGTAGGTACCACATATTTCTTGTATTCTTAAACAGATTATGAAAAGGTAATTTAAGTGCAAAAACAATGGAACATCATTTCTGTGGCCATGTATAGGTACACTTCTATAATAAGATTCCGGTTGATATTCAAAATTTGCCATTTATGAGGTTTAAAACTATAATGAAACAAAAACTTTGCTCAAAAGGTTTATTATACAGTTTCTGCGTGTTTGGATGACAAAAACAAAGAGTTTTGTCCGTAGTGACCCTCTTAGCACTTGGAGGTTGTCTAGCTCTATTTGAAATAAATATAGTAAATGATAAATGAAATGTATACATGTTTATTTACAAAGAGCAGAAGCAAGTAGAATTTATTCTATGTAACGATTTCAAGTATAATTTGCTCACTTATGAAATAAAGATTATTTCAGTTTGAATTTGAGATCCTAGTTTGGACAGAAATGATAAGGAAATAAATAGAGCAATGTATTTGCATGAATGAATGAAACAGAAAGCTTTTAGGGAAATTAAGTAGCAAATGCAAATAATTTCATACCATTTCAATAAAAAGCCGATGAACTACCGCTTATCTTACCTGTAAAGAAAATATAATAATTAATTAGTAAATATTATTATAAGACAAAATTAGAGTTATATGTTTTAATTTTAAAATCTATACCCAACCGTCGCGTTGGACTCCCGAAAAATATGAAAAAAATTATCTTATACATTTTTCATAAGTTCAAATGATTGGATTTAGCTACTTGTATAAATATAATTAAACATATAAGATAAGATAAATTTATTTCTTATACATTACTTAATCTCATACAATACATGGAAAACAAATGTAAATAAAGCTATGATATTATAAAAACAGTCAATAAGAAAGGAACCTAAATTATACAATCTCCAAAGTAAAGCTATACATTTTAATATTAAAACCTAATGTGTAGTTGTGATGCCCAAACTAAGTTAATGTGTACCTCTTTAAATTATATAGGAATATTATAACAAGGAAATCAACACGTTCGTTTGAATGTTTTCAGAAACCAGTGCCGAGAGCGCGCGCGCGCACATCACCATGGGCCAAGAACAGTCATACGCTTCACACGCTAGTGTGGCTTCAGCCAGACGCTACTCCAAATACGATAAAGACGCCAAGTACGAAGACCCCATACAATTCAGGAGCCCCCCTGTCGACTACCGCGCAGACGAGAAAGATTATAAACGACACAAAATTAGACGCAGCGGCGATAGCTTCAAAAGCGACAATACAGATAGTAGCGGATACAGAAGTGGTTCAAGTGCCTACGAATGCCGTTCAGACAGATCCTCTAAAAGTGATTATTACTGCACGTCTCTATACAAAAACGACCATTACAAAGACGTCAACAAAGAAATATACAAACCAGTAAAGATAACAAAAGAGCAACGATACAAACTTCAATTGTTTGACGACAAGGAGGATTTGAAAAGTGAGCGGTTGAAGAGTTACTTGAGTGACACGGAGAAGGCGCAAAAGTCTACACAAAAGAAGTGCGGCATAAGAAACTATACACCGAAGATTCTATCTGACGAAGAGCAGAGAAAAAAGATTGAGAACTGGATATAAGAGAGTAATAAGCTAGTAATTAAGTTGTAAATAGTAGATGATTTGTAAGGAGGATGGAGGCGGCAGGCGCTCTCGCGAGTTTGGCTCCCTCCCCAATCACTGTACTGGGGCTCATACCACTTCTGGCTTTAGGCATTACATATTTTCGGTACCAACAGTTCGACCCGGAATCGTACATCACCGACGTCAATGCCGTAAGTATTATGCTTTTATTTCTATATGTACTATTTATTACATTGCAAAGAACTTGAATTACGATTCAATTTAAAATACCTAATCATCTTATTGTTCACAAGTACAATATAGCACGAGTATCACCTCACAACTCCACCGAATAAACCTGTATTATCCAAACACTAACTTCACAGGACATGGAAATATTTAATCTGTGTTTTTACGCCGTAAATGAAATTTTAAATTTTTTAGATGTTTTATTTAATTCGTATATTTACGTTTTCTCTAGAAAAAAAGCATTGGAAGTTACATTACAATAGATCATTTATCTGTTTTTGCGTGAAAAAAATTTGGGGTTTTATTATAATTGATAATAATAGAATATTATAGCCTGATAAAACAAAATGTGTAGTGTAGTGTGGCGTCGGAACTCATAAATAGCTAGTTAATTGAAGCAGCTATCTGCGCAAAAGTGGTGTAACCCACATTTAATTATTTTTTTCTATAGTATTACTCTAAATGATTCTTAATTACATAATTATATTTTGCAGTTTCATTCTTAGCTATTTAGTATAGTTTACATATTACAGCTATGACTACACGCCATAACCTTTACACGAATTTTTAAAGAAAAAATAAAAAATCACTAAATTGATTGACAGGTCATACTCTCGTCTTGATTGCGCGCCATTTCTTTTCATTATCTACATATGTTCAAAGAATAGAAGGTCAATATCCCTGTTATTTTTCTTCTATTTCCTCTATATAATAAATGAAGGGTTGGGTAATCATAAATATATTCATCAATCATAACTAAGATGAGGGGTGGGTGATTATTAATCGCTAAGAATAAAGCTGCTTATATAATTATGATCGAACTCACGTACTGGTAAGTTCGTTTGATCATCAGTTTATTTTATATTTCGATGCTATTTTTATGAATAAAAAATTTAATAATTAAATATTTTATACACTGTAATACGTAAATATTAATTTTTTTATGCATGAAAATAGTATTCAAAATTCCAAATATAAAATAATTATGTACTTTAGTATAATTTTATTTTAAGTAATATTATATATAAAATTAACATTTAATTTTTTACACCGCTTCATCGCTAACAGATAAATTGTGGATTAATGAGTATGTGGATGCATATCTAAGAAAAAAAAATGCTAATTTGCCGAGTATGTCATTTTAATAATTATTAATTTAGTTTCTCTGCTCGTATTCGCATGGATGTAGTACTAACAAACAATAAATACAACAAGAATTCTGCACAGAAAATGCATTTCCGTTGTCCAATAGATATTGTCGAGTAATAATATTGGTATTAGTAACTTTCTCTAGACACGTACACAAAGATGCTTTTGTACCCTTTATTGCCTTCCGGATCTATTGTTAGGAGCGACAAATCGAAGTGAGATCTGTTTAATGGTCATATAAATCCCTTCTTATGAATCAAAGAACTCAGTAATTTGATGAGAGGGAATCATTTAGTAGCGATTTTGGGATCATGTCAGGGTATATTTAAAAAAAAATTAAATAAACGCAATCTTTCGTCTTCTACTTTTTGCAAACTTACGACTAAGAAACAAGATGTTTTTAGTATTTGTAATTTAAATTTAATTTTGTATTCCTGTGTTATAAACATATTAAATAAAACAAGTAAATATATTTTCCCAACAAATTGATGGGCGTGCTATATATATTTCAATGTTAAACAACACGCATTTCGCATTATTTTACAGTATTTGATCTAATTTGTTGTTACATTGCAGGTGTTACCAATCTACGACTTCATAATAGTGGGCGGAGGGTCAGCGGGAGCTGTTGTGGCGTCGCGGCTCTCCGAGATCGGCAACTGGACGGTGTTGCTGCTAGAAGCTGGCAACGACGAAACGGAGATTAGCGACATCCCAGCCCTTGCCGGGTACACACAACTCTCCGATATCGACTGGAAGTTCCAAACGACGCCCTCCGCAAACAGATCCTACTGCCTGGCCATGAATGCAGATCGCTGCAATTGGCCCAGGGGCAAAGTCCTCGGTGGTTCCAGCGTCCTTAACGCCATGGTATACGTACGCGGAAACCGCAACGACTACGACCTCTGGGAAGCGCTCGGCAACGACGGATGGTCCTATGATCAAGTATTACCCTATTTCCTGAAGTCAGAAGATAACCGCAACCCGTATCTCGTCAAAACGCCTTATCACTCAGACGGAGGGTATCTCACAATACAGGAAGCGCCTTGGCGAACCCCACTCGCTGTGACTTTCTTGAAAGCCGGTATTGAATTAGGTTACGAGAATCGAGATATAAATGGAGCGAAACAAACTGGTTTCATGTTGACACAAGCGACGATGAGACGGGGTAGCCGGTGTAGCACAGCGAAGGCGTTTCTGCGACCTGTCCGTAACAGAGAGAACTTGCACATTGCCCTTGGCGCTACCGTCACGAGAATACTGATCAATCCAGTCAAGAAGCAAGCTTACGGCGTGGAGTTCATTCGCAACGGTCAGAAACATAAAGTTAGAATAAAGAGGGAAGTTATTATGTCAGCAGGAGCGATAATGACGCCAAAACTAATGATGCTGAGCGGAATAGGCCCCGCGGATCATTTGCGAGAACACGGAATACCTCTAGTAGCGAATCTGAAGGTTGGTCACAATTTGCAAGACCACGTCGGATTGGGTGGACTGACTTTTGTTGTCAACAAACCTGTCACGTTCAAGAAAGACCGCTTCCAAACGTTCGCTGTTGCAATGAACTACATTTTATATGAAAAAGGACCAATGACCACCCAGGGTGTAGAAGGACTGGCATTTGTGAATACAAAGTACGCGCCAACATCTGGCAATTGGCCTGACATTCAATTTCACTTTGCACCAAGTTCAATTAACTCGGACGGTGGTGAACAGATACGTAAAATCTTGAACTTGCGTGACAGGGTGTACAATACCGTCTACAAGCCTTTGGAAGAAGCTGAAACGTGGACTATACTGCCTCTATTACTGCGTCCTAAAAGTTCAGGTTGGGTGAAACTTCGCAATCGAAACCCTTTCACACCACCCTCAATTGAGCCTAATTACTTCGCTTATAAGGAAGATATCAATACACTTATCGAAGGTATTAAAATCGCCATGGCTATATCAAACACGACAGCTTTCCAAAAGTACGGATCACGACCACATAACATCCCAATGCCTGGTTGTCAACACCACGTGCTCTTTAGTGATGCTTATTGGGAGTGTTCATTGAAGCATTTTACTTTTACAATATACCACCCAACAGGAACATGTAAAATGGGTCCTAAGCATGATCACGACGCGGTTGTTGATCCAAGATTAAGGGTCCACGGTGTCGCGAATCTCAGGGTTGTGGACGCTAGTATAATGCCTACTATTATAAGCGGCAACCCCAATGCTCCTGTAATCATGATCGGCGAAAAAGCCTCCGATATGATCAAAGAGGACTGGCTGGCCTTATGACAGTGTTCAAACGAAAATTGTGTGATGGAATCTTAAAATACTCAGTCAAAAGGGCAGATACTATTTATGTGAAAATGCTCTTGCGTAGCTAATAATAACTTTAAAGAGTGTAAATAAGTAAGGACTGTGTAATTAAGACTACGAACGTTATTATTATAATCGAGTCTGTTAGATTTATGTAATGTAAATTACCTATTAGGTTGTAATTAATAAATTTATAAACAATAATGAGCGCAAATTATTTTTTTCGCTACAACCCAAAAAATACGCTAATAACAATAGCGAAATTACGTACATTAAAAATAAATTAGAGGTGCTAACTAGTAGAGTACAAAATATACTCCCGGACACATAATTCGAACTTCGCATTTTTGTCGTAAAGAGCTACAATACAAAAATAGTATTATCATCGAAGAAAAAGTTTTCCCCCGGAATTTTTTATTTGCAAAAGCAAATCCAAATTCCCAACGAGGACTTATGGAGAAGACGTTTAGTGTGCTAGTTTCAAAATTGCACAAGTTTTTGATCAACATTGTTTAAGCTTAGGGCACTTAATACTGAAAATGCGTGGTGGCTCGAATTATATGTCCGGAAGTGTATATTATTAATTATTGAAATGCAAAAATATTACAACTCAAATACATAACATAAAATTAAATGTATTAGGTACTGCCAAAATTACGTCGATTTTAGTACTTAAAGTACCTAGCGCCATCTGCCAATGGGCAGATCAACTTTTTCGTACATCGCCATCTAGTGTTGAGTAGGTATATTACTGCACGTACCCAGTAAACTTAGAAGTACTAGTTCGGTATCATAGGTAGCGCTATCAAGATCATCTGATTTTTTTCATATTTATTTGTTGAGCAATGGCTATAGAGCCATCAGCCTAAACAAGTTAACAAATAAATTAAAAAAAAACTGAAAACGTTTGTGTAAAAGCTGTAACTATAAAAACCTGCCATTTTTTTTATATCACATTTTTTTATGGATATAATTAAATGACGTTTTGATGGTTTTGATGTATATTGTGTTCATAAATTTTGAAGAAATAAAAATACCGTGGTTCATAAAGGGTACAAATTCATTGACTCACTCGTAGGTTATCAAGATAAATTACATCTGTTTATAATTTGTAGGAATTATTTCAAAAATCAAGAATTTGATAACAGAAAAGTGATACAATGTAGAGACTAAAGTATGCAGAATAATAGGCAAAAATCTTTGAGGTTTTTTATTTGACTGATTCTGTGTCAGTGAGTTAATTGAGAACAGACCAAACCCATTACTCTACAATAAACATTCGTTTCAGTTTGTTAGAAAAATTGGCGGGTTTTTCAAGTTATAAGCACAATTTTAACAAAGATTATTTTTATTTTAAGTATGTTATAAAGAAAATACGAAAAAACAAATAGATATGAAGAAAGGTACAACTACGTTCCTTATTTTAAACTAAATCACAAAAGACTTTATCCTGACAATTCAACTAATTACGAATTCAAAGTTTTTGTTCCAAGTGACAATAATGTGATTTAAGTGAAAGTGAAAACATAAATATTGATTCCTACCGCTTAAAAAACTGACGAAGAAAAGAAAAGAAAAGAAGAAACCCAAACAAGTAAACTAAGTTATTTAAGCAGCAGTGAAAACATAATATATTAGAACCACAACAAAGATCCCGATAATTAAACAAAGATATGATTCAAATTACTTGTATCCAAGCCAAAACTCTAAAAAAAAAATCTTAAATTTAAAAAGAAAAAGGCGGGTTGCTGTTGTTAGTTTTTACCTTGGCTTACTAAACTTCTTACTCTGCCCCAAAGCAGCCCAAACATTTGCTACTAATAATATGACTTTTCTATAAAAAAAAAAACCGACCTCAAAAATTCGTGGAATTACATCTATTTGCCATGTTTTATTGAAATTGGTTACCGGAAAGTGCGCGAAACCGAATTAGTTTGACACCCTTAGACGTAGAAAATTCCTTCAAATTTAAATGGGACCAACAGAACAAAAAAGAATCATCAAATACGGTTCACAAATTTTAGAGTTATCGCGTAACATACTGAGGTCTCGGGATCGATTCCCGGGCCAGAAGAAATATTTGTATGGCCTTGAGATGGAGGTCAAATGTGTGCGTTTAATAAAAAAAAAATATCTTGTAAGTTTGGGCGTAATTTGTGGTTGTGTATGTCCATGGCACCCGCGATACTAGATTTCCCTAGTGCTGGGCTATGAAATGTGCGCGTTATTTAAAAGAAAAAAATACAGTCAAATTAAATCTCCTCTTATTTTTGAAGTCGAAGTTAAAAATACGAATATAAACATTGACTTACAAATAAATGGACGACGGGTCTAATACAAAAACCACGAAAAAAATGTCCCAAGTCAACCTATTCGAAATTTAAATTGTAATGTCATCGCAGTATCGCGCTGTCAGTCGAACAAATGAAGACTAAAGCGGAGTTTGGCGCTCTGTATACGATTTTAGCGCTTTACAAGTGCGGACACTTTTTAGCGCGGACCCGACGTCCATATAATTGTAAGTCAATGAATATAAAGCTCATTTTATATTAGATATGCATGTGAAACTAATTTTACGAGTACATTTGTTTTTTTTTTCAAACTCGCTAACTACTACAGACTCTTTGCAGGTCACACAGCTAACTACGGTGGTATTAATCATCAACTAGGTAGGTAATATTTAACGAAAGTTACAAACATTATTAATTTATCTACTTACCTTAATTTTAAATTTCTCGTACTGAAATTTAGTTTATTATTTTACAAATACAACCTGGATTAAATTTAAAATGTAAAAAATATAGGTTAATGATTGTAGGTCCGACACCTGACCTAGAAACCCAGAGACCTAACCGCAACACCCAAAAATGATGTTATTAAGCAATGCCATAAAAGACATTATGTAACAAAAATGTAATGTCCAAACTTTGAATAAAAAGCTTAATGCCTCTAACACGGGCGACCAATCACTTAAGGGAAAGTTGTTTGTATACCGTAAACGATAAGTTAGGCATTTATTTATTAAACAATCGACGGAAATTTTCTCGGATTATAAACAATAACGATGTCAGCAATTTCGAGAAAGTCACCGTTTTACACGTAAATCTATACATACTTTTATACAATAACGCAGTATTGTACAATACTACGAATTTGAACTAAGCGTAGGTATGGTACAGCAATGAGTAGAGCAAGCGAAATTTTATAGTCAACGAGCGCTGTACCTCACCTACGTTATGCTGGGGCTCGGCCTGCGGCGCGTGGTCGGCGTTAAATTACGGGCTGTGCTTATATATGCTCTTCAGAGTTACAGCGGTTAGTACTAATAACGCATACACTCATAGTCCCGCACTAGGGAACCCTGTATCGCGGGTTCCATTGAAACACACAAAGACAACCACAAATTACACCCAAACTCAAGAGAGAAATAGATGTAGGCCTTACAAATATTTCTCGAACCCGAGACCTCTGCATAACAGACCAGTGTGGTAACCGTTCGGCCACAGAGGCAGTTACTACTACCATGAGCGCTTGATGAGGAAGTTACTACTACCATGAGCGCTTGATGAGGAAGTTTCGGGTTTGATTCCCGATTTTCTCCAGTTCCAGTTCGCTTCACCCTCCGTTGGACTTCGGCCTAAGGTTTTGACGTAATTTAAAAAAAATGAAAATAGCTCATTAATGGCGGCCATATTTAAAGTTTGCAAAATATATTATCAGGCAATAAATACCACACGACACAGAAGGCATTGGTGAAAATCTGCACTTGGCGTGACCAGGTAGGGGTGTACGGTCCGCACTGGAAAGTCTAGTGCCCATAAACTTTAGAACATTTTGATACTTTGGGGAAAAAAGTGCAAAAGCCGATTTTTGGCAAAAATAGACTTTTTTGGAGGAACAAGCGTTCGCCTGGGCGACACGCTTATCCGTGACAGTTGCAGTGCCACTCAGAACTTAAAATCGCAAAGATCAGAGATCATAAGACATAAGTTGAAAAGTCCCATGCCCCATTTCACCAGCACCCCTTCCAAACTGGAACGAAGTAATGCTCACGTTACTGCTTGACGGCAACAATAGGTAAGGTGGCAGTACTTCCCTAGACAAACTTTTTCATAAGATGAATGAAATTGGATTAAATATTTGTTTTTTTTTTTCAATCAGTCAACTCAAAGTTTACAAAACTTATTAAATATACCTAGTTAAGAAGTGAACCAAAATAAATTAATTTTGTTTTTTACGCGTTCTATAATCTTTGCAGCCTTGTTTTTACGACCATTCTTCCCTGAAGTATTGAAAAGAAAATTAAAAAAAAAATGATATGATGATAAAAATAACCAATAAATAATTGAAATTATTCTTTGACCTTATCTTTTCAAATATTTTTTGTTTAGTCCAATCTCTACGAACCATCTCCAGAAAAATGGAGCTACATTGCTTTCGAGCAATGCGTGACAAGTAAAAAAAAACATTAATTCAACATGTTACTCATATCCACTCTAATAGAATGCTGGTGAAATTACAGGCACATGGGACTTGTCAACTTATATCCTAGTGCTCCTCAGATCTTTGCGATTTAAAGCTCTGAGTAGCACTGGAACAGCTATGAACAGGCGTTTCAATTCACACACTTGGCATAATAAAAATAAATTATGTAACACTGTAAGCCGATGTATAAATAAAATATTTCTCCTATATTTACACTAATTGTTTATTTATATCTCATACTTCCACATGTGATCCCTTTTTCTCGCTATCTTTTCCCAAAAAACTCTTTTTAACTGACTTACAAAAAAGGAAGAGGCTATACGGTCGACTGTTTGTATGTTTGCCGATTTCTTCGTCAATGTGGACCGATTATGAAAATATCTTTTTTTTTATATCGTATGTATCGTTTCCCTGTTTTAAACCCTGACATAAGTCAAAAAGAGTCAGTGGCTGAAATGCTAAACGCGAAAAGCCATGACAAAAATCATGGAAGTATAATCATCATTCTACGATGTAACAAACCAATCGTGATCAGTTCAAACTCACGGTTAATGATTACAGATCTGGTCACACCAGCCTGTTATCCATAGGATTACGCATAGGTCGCCGGTTATACAAGGCGGTACTCGTTACTTGATAACACTGTTACTTAACTAGTATGCACGATATCTTATGTGCGCAATATTCAAAGATATGTGTTATTAAAATCGTATTATCTTCGTACATTTCATTAATAGTAGGGGCTAATGGATATTGTATGAAAGTTTTGATATAATCTAAGAATGTAACATACTAATTTTGTAATACAGTCAAGAGCACATCAAGCTTGACACTGTACTTTGGACCATTCTTATCGTAAGCGGCATAGAGTTGGATTTAAGTCTTAAGTGTAAAGCTTGACGTGCTCTTGACAAGTAATCTGCTAGAACACTGTATCAAAACATTATTATTTAAATGTTACAAAAAACAGGACAATTTACACTGAAAAAAAGTGTTTCAAATTAATATTTTATACAGTTATACGAATAACGATTACAACGACAAATTATAAGTCATGATTTTATAAATATTGTGATTGACTCAATTAAGACCAAAAGTTCAAAAAAACCCGAAACGTCGGTTTGTTAAAAAAAAATATACGAGATTTATTTTTATTTCAATATTAAAAAGAATATTGCTCTTTAAAATCTTTTTTTTTTTTAGTTTAACGAGCGGGATCAACAGAAATGAGATAAATAATATTTTTTATTTTTTTTTTATTTATTAAGCATTGGCTTCAAGGCCATCAGCTTAAAAAGATAACTAAATAAAAATGTATTACAATAAAAGTGAATGAACTAAAACTAAACCTTAACTAAACAATAGAATAAATTATTTACAGAGGATTAAAAATATAAACACGAACGAATCAATAAAAAAATAATAAAACTTAAATATGGCCAAAAGTATGACTTACAAAACTATCAATAAATTTATATAACTCTAAATGCTGTAAAAGCTCCTGGGCAGTACTAGGAAATAAACAATCTTTTTTTAAAATGTCTTTACATTGAGCTATGAAAAGTAAACGTTGTAAATTAAAATTGGGACAAACAAAAAATAAATGATCTAAATCAGAAAAACTACTATGGCAAAACAAGCAAGAAGGATTGGATATTAACTTAAGTCTATCTAAATGAGCAGGAAATTTACAATGGCCAATGCGTAACCTACACAGTCCAGTAATATATTGTCTTCTTAAATATGTAGTATTTTTTTCAAACCAAGCCTTTGTTGAAGGTGTTGGCTGAATCTCAGCCAACCATTTACCTTTGATGCTTCTAGAACTGTGTAGGGACATGGACCACCGGATGAACATTATTTCTTTAACAGCTAAATGTAAATCGGTAAAAGGAACTTTAAAATTACAAAATTCAACATTCTCAGTTGACTTAGCAAGAGAATCAACCAATTCATTTCCTAAAATACCGGAGTGACCAGGAACCCAACAAAACTGTACAACTACATTATCACACATTAAATTAAAAATATGACTTCTTAAAGAGTATATCAAATAATTACAATTTGCACTAATTAATTTGTTGGACAAAGCCAGAAGAGCACTCATTGAGTCAGTTAAAATTAAATATTTTTTATATGTGTGATTCTGTTTAATGTAAACAAGTGCATAAATCAGTGCCAACACCTCAGCTGAAAAAATAGAAAATAAGGAATTGCATTCAAATACTTTACCAAAACGACAATCAGCATCGTAAAAAGCAAATGCAGTTCTGTCTCCTGTTTTGGAACCATCTGTATATATCTTGTGAAAATCTCTCATGCCATCCAAAAACTCATAAAAATCGAATTTACTATCAAAGCGTGTGATATTGATAGGAATGTCTATAACTAAACTGAGGAATTGAAAGTTATAACAGGGTATATTATGACACCAATGCACAACATCCTGATATTGAAAATTTAAATATGCTATAGAGTTATTTAATGTGGTAGAAATTGATAAGGAAGCTTCGTTGAAATTAGGAGCAGAGTAATTCTCTAAAAATTTTGAAACGATAACGTTATCTCGACTTACTAATTGTAAACAAAATCTATCAGTTAGATAAGATCTTCTGATACATAATGGTACAATTCCTGATTCAACTTCAAGCGAGTTGATGGGAGATGACATCATGGCACCAGTTATAATACGTAAAGCTTTGTTTTGTATAATATCTAACTTTTTAAGGAGGTGCATTTCGGCATCAGAATAAAACATACAAGCATAATCAAAATGACTGCGAATGGTTGTGATGTATAACATTTTTAACGTTTTAGGATCTGAACCCCAATTTACACCAATCAAAGATTTGAGGATATTCAAACCCAATTCAGTTCTCTTACAAATATTCTCAATGTGAGCTTTCCAACATAAACTGGAGTCTAAAATTACTCCAAGATACCTTTCCGACTGTTGAAATGGCAATAAATAATTATTATAATAAATTTTTGGGACAAAAGGTCCGTTCCTGGAAAATAAATTTACAGAACTCTTAGCAATATTGACTTCAAGTTTTAAATCAGTAGAAAGTAAGTCATTAATGATTCGTAAGCATTCATTCATGTCATATTGCCCTTTATTGGGATTATCACAACTTAGATAAACAACAAGATCATCTGCAAAGAAAGAGTAATGCACAGAATCAGGAATCCGCTTCATGAAACCCACAAGACTTAAAATAAAAATAAGCGGTGAAAGAACTGAACCCTGAAGAGTTCCCTTAAACGAACTCCTGGGGCCATACAATTTATTTTTATATTTAATAAACGTGTTTCTATCGTTAAGGAAATTAAAAATCCAACGTAAAACTAAACCTGGTATATTTAGATGGGATAAACTTTTGATTAGGTATTCATGATCTATATTATCAAAAGCTCCTTTAATATCCAAAAAAACAGCCAAAGTACTTTTATTACTCACAAAATTATTTTTAATATCACCTACCAAACAAGCTAAATTATACAAGGTGCTCTTCCCTTTGCGAAACCCAAATTGAAAGTCAGGTATGCGTTGACCATTTTCCACGAACCACTCAAGACGGTTTTTAAGCATAGTTTCGAAGCATTTCGAAAAACATGAAGTTAAAGAAATAGGTCGATATGCATCTAAGCTATTAGCATCTTTATTAGGTTTTAATATAGGAACTACATACTGGATTTTCCAATCCGGAGGTATAATACTTTTTTTCCAAAGCCTATTATAAATTTCTAGCAAAAATGTTTTAGCCAGGAAGGGTAAACACTGAATAACTTTGTAAGTAATATAGTCTGGACCTGGAGAACTACTTTTCTTATTCAGTAAAGCAGCTTGTAGCTCATGAAATCCAAATGAATCAGTCAACCATTGAGTTGAACTAGAGCTGTTATTAAAAAATAAATATTGTAAATGAGTAGAAAAATTACAAGTAAGTGACGAAGAAGTTATTTTATCTAGAAACATCATAATATTTTTAGTATCGTCAAAAAAGTGAGATTTAGAGCTGGTACGGAGCTTAGCAAATTTAAATTTGCGAATATAATCCCAAATTAGTTTAGTGGAAGTCATGCGGTTGAAAGAAGAGCAAAGGTTGGCCCAACCTAATGCTTTTTGCTCGGAAAGAGTTTTCTTTTTCTTACCATCAAATTGTTTATATAAAAGATAGTTTTCTTGAGATGGATAAATCCTAAATGAATCAAGAGCTTGTTGAACAGCTTGACTACAAACATCGTTCCACCAAAGCAACGGTTGACGTTTTTTATTATGGCAAAACATCGCCTTCGTTGTATGAAATGTCAGTAAGAGGTCAACTAAGATTTGAATAAAGTCAGTGTACGCAACGAGTGGATCCGGATTAATAGTAAAAGTTGAGAATTTGTGTGTACATAAATCATGAAATTTCGACCAATCTATTTTATTATAATTGAGATTAGCTAGGCAGTGTATAGAGGGAGTGGTTGGAGCGGCAGAGTGAGTTGAAGACTGCTTATGGCTCTGCACACATTCCTTGTAAAACAAACTAACCAGTAGAGGGAAGTGGTTGCTGCTCATAAGATCGTCTAATACTGAAAGTGTACAGCTGGAACTAATTGATGGAGAAGCAAAAGCTAAATCGAGTACATTGCCTTGTTGACCAAATGGAGCAAAGGTCGTTATAGTGTGATCGTTTAAACATACTAAATTATGAGTATCAACAAAATTATAGATTAAATTGCCTCTTCCGTCAACGTTTCTACAACCCCAAGCAATATGATGAGCATTAAAATCGCCTACAATGATATAATTTTTATTACAGATTTTAGAAAAAACATTATTCAGTTGTTGAATTTGAAATTTGCCATTTGGAGGAGGAGGCAAGTAAACACATAAAATATCCAGTGACAAAGAACCAAGAGAAACAGACAATAAAATATTCTGGAAGTCATAGCATTTGTCACAAGAGATGGTAGAGAACTTATACTTACCTTTAATAGCAACAGCAACACCACCATGAGGGCGACTAGAATCTTGTCGGACTATGTTATAACCAGGAATCCTAAAACATTTGTCAGGAGTAAGCCAAGTTTCATTAAGAAGAATTATATCGATGTCAGTATTTGAACAGGAAATAAAGTGTTGTAGATTAGATAACTTAGACAAGACACTACGAGAGTTCCAGTGGAAGATTACAAATTGCTTAATATTACCCTGAAAATCCATATTATGAAGCAAAATTAGTAATAAGCAACTCCTTTATGACCTTAGAAGAAACTAAGGTGCTGGCATCTGATTTTGTTGAAGAAACAGAATCTTTTTTTTTAAGAATATCTAACACTGTCTTAGTAATAACACTTATGACCTCATCGGAGTTAATCAGTTCAGACAGTAAGGCTCTTCGCTGTGGCCTTGAGGATTCTTGTTTCAAAGAAGGAAAAGCAGATTTTGCTGTTATTGAGGCATAGGTGGACTTGCCGCTGATTTGATCTTTAATTTCATTTAATTTAGCCTTTTTAATAGGACATAAAGAAGAAACAGCAATGTGGTCTGTGCTCTTGCAGTTAATACATTTTATATTGGCTTGGTTGTTACACACATTGAAGAAGTGTTCTCCAGAGCAAATGGAGCAAACCTGTTTTGATTTACATGAATTTTTACTATGGCCGAATTTATAACATGTGAAACATTGTTGTAAAGGTCTCACATATTTCTTCACCTCAAACCATATAAAATCATAAGTTACATGATCAGGGGCAGTGGAACTGAGGAAGGTGACCAAAACTGTAGGGGTAGGAACAAGAATATTATCCATCTTCCTTTCAAATCTCTTTATCCCTATAATCTCAATGTCAGCTTGCAACTCTTGAAGCAATTGTTCTTCAGTAAGTTCAGAAGGCACTTTAATTATACCTTGTGACTCAAGATGATCGTATGGGATCCTTGCAATCCATCCATGGGTTTTTTGAAGTTTGCTATTCATGATGAAGTTATTAGCATCTGCTTTGGATGAAAAAAATACTTTTATGATGCGTAATCCAACAGGTCTTACATATGAAACACCTTTCACCGATTTCAAAATGTTGTTTATTTTTAACAGGTCCAGTTTTGTAGAGGAGGATTCATCAATGGATGGGGCCATAGAAAGCAACACTGGATAATCTTTTTTCCCTTCTTCTTTATAAATATGATTGTATTCCTTGAACAGTCCTCTTTTTGTCCTATTAAAATTTGCCGCCATTTTGGCGGGAGGAGAATTTTCCCGAATTGTGGCTTTTCTTTTGGTGGCAGTAATCCTGCCACCACTGTCGTCAGTCATCACAATTGAAAACTTAGATTGAATTGACCAATTGAATCTAGGCAAAATAAGTTATAAAAGAAGTAAAAAGGGCTAATAAAGAATTTCTACAAATTAATTTTGTAATTTGCGCCCGTACACTTTAAAGTTCGCGCCCTTTTTTCATAAATAATATTATTACAAATTCAACCTTATATTCTCTAAAGTTTAAACGGCTTTGGCTTATAGCAATATAGCCTATTCTTCATTTTTGTTTCATTATTCACTTAGGTTTTCAATCATCAAATGACATGAAAAATGGAAATAATGTAACTGTAAATAACTTCATATATTTTAATCAAACTTTGTAGACACGATCTCGAAACTAGGGTTATGTTAGGTCCTGTTAAATTCCATAGATACAAAATTACATGCCTAAGATGTCGTAATTTTTTAATGAAAAAGCCCAACTTCATGCAAAATTTTCAAGATAATAAAATTTTTTCTACAGATTTTAAGGCGCTATAATTCTTATAATGTTAACGAATTCCTTAAGAATCCATACTACCGCGGCTCGAATTCAAAATTTTCCCGTAATAATACGGTTCATTTTGCTTAGGGCGAGCGGCAGGCTCACTGGCTTTATTTCAGAATTTATTTTTTTTTTACAAAAGAATAAAGCCATTTGAAAAATGTATATCGTACAGTATACGTGTTCCATTTAGTGCAGTTGATATTAAAAAAGTCACTGGTATACGTGAAGTACTTAGTGAATAAAGTTTGAAAAATTTATATCCTCAATTTTACCATATATATTTTCCGAAGTGTTCAACCCGAGCCATTTGAGGTAGTATAGACTTTTAAATTAAAGTTTTATTTTCAGGTCTATGTCATTGTTCGAAGGAATATTAGACGAAGAAATACAAAAAAATATACAGAAATATTTGCTGTCTCGCCCACACACTCGCACTCGCATCACTATTGAATAGAAACATCGATAAAACTATTGAATACATCAAGCTGTTCTGTGCGACCGCACAGTTTCCTAATATAAACTTTCATAGGACCTTTGATCGATATTGAACATGTCTGCCGTATTAGAAAAACAAGACATCACGAAAATACTCAACAGAATTTGCTGTTAGCTCAGACAAAACAGATTGAATCCACTTAACATGAAATGTGTCAAAACCCACATGTGCAAATAATCTCACCCCCATAGGTAGGTAAAGATACGTATTTCGTACCTATATAGAGGTTATTAGACACGAATAAAAAAAACACAAATTTAAAATATGTTCAAAGATTATTTCACAATTTTTTGTTAAGTAGTAGTAGTTATTAACCACATTAAGTGTCAGTTTGTAACCTTATATTCAATTCAGACTCGTTTGGATCCTTCCGTCAACCTTTACAGATTAACTGAATTAGAATGAACTGTATACAGTTTTGTAGGATTATGTTTAAGCTAAGAAAATTGTAGCATTTTTAATTTCTAAAAAAATAAAAAAGGTTCCACCTAAACAAACTCCATGATCAAATAATGTACATCCTTAGGAGTTCCACACACTTGTCAATTTGGACAATTCACCCTCATCAAATACAAAAATTTGTTAATGGAACGTGTGCGGATCGAAGCTTATGCGTGCTGACAATTTGAGCCCTACTTCATTTTACGTGGTTAATTAAACCAAGGAACTTGAGGAGGTTCACACTGCATGGTCTCGTACACAGACCACATTTCAAAGAAGTCTTTCCAACGAAACTTCCCCTTATAATTAGCAATTAGATTAAGTTTAGAAACTGAGTTAAATCGCCACAATTTTTCGAATACGAAACAACCTAACACTTATAAGGTCAGGTTGGTGGAACAGAGTTCCGACCTCTTTCAAAGATATCTCATGGCGCGTGTATAAGTGTGGATATAGACTACAATATTAAATTATACATACAAGAACAAGAAGTAAACAAGAAACTTCCAGCACAAATCTAACAACATTTTCCACGTAGTTACCTACTTTTCTCTACAAAATAACATTTACATAATACAAACAGCATTCCATATGACTTGAAGTATCCATAATTTTCGCGAGGAAGCAATGACTGAACATGCAATATTAAATTGTTAGTATTTCATAAAGGTTACAATTATGCGCATGCACATCGGCCGATGTAGAGCTCGATGTTATTTATTGATCGTGTATCTAAATTACGATATTGATTATTGTTTATTACTTTTTGTTACGTAAACATATTTTAGATACATTACTATTAGTAGAATAACGTCAGTTCTGGTTCTATAGTCAGAAGCCATTTTGATTTATATAACACGATCCCATCGGCTTTTTTTACAATACCGAG